ATAATCCTCATCCGAATCCTCATCTTCATCCGAATTCCCCATCTTCATCTTCATCCTCATCCTCATCAGAGTCCAAATAAAAACGGAAACTCAAACGTCAACATAAACGTCAACGAAACCGTCCAGACCCTATCAAACATTTCATAAAATGTCAATCTCTCACTCGAACCAATGCCATCTCCGCCGCGTTATCAATCATGAACGTAAATGTCATTTGGGTCAAACCTGGTGAAAACGTAAATGCCATCAAGGAGATGACTTGTTTGGTTCGATCACATTCTTCTCGTAACCAAGATGATCATGACTTGATCGAGATCCAAACAGAGACAGAAACCGAACAAGATCAATATGGTGATGAAATGAGCTTGAGGTTCAGAAATGAAATGAAAATGAAAAAGTAACAAGTCTGGATAGGGTTTCAGAGGTATATAAAACCTATCTTTGGCCCTCGGCTCGGACGATCGCTTGATCAATGTGTATACGTACATACGTACGAATGAATGATATTATAATATAATCATATTCCTCACAATCACACCCACACCCATCTTGGATTTCCCTGGAAGAATAGAAAAAATCAAGATGACTTACTCGGACTGAATCTCTCTCTCTCCTTATTTCTAACCCGAAAGAACACGTATGGGATCTTGAAGTGGAGATGTACATGTACATGACACCGTGTCCATGTCCGTGTCCGTGTCTGTCTTTCTGTCGGAGGATTTGGGATTTGGGAATTTCCGAATTTCCGAATTTCCGATTTTTCCCCCGATCTCATTGTAGATCTGTACCTCACAACCTTCTTTTCCCTAACCCCCTTATTCATCTCTTTCGATTAAACCCTTGTAGCTGGAAGTATGTATCGCATGGATCTTTTATCCCTCAAATTGCCCTTCTTTTTCTACATTGGAGACTTTTCGGTACCGATCGCGTCTATTCATCATCAAACCTAGTCTACATAGGGCATTGGTTAACTTACTTTGAGAATTGGTAATTGGTAATTCAAGTCCTACCGTTTTCCCGGTTATCTTCTTCTCTCAGTTTTCACAATCCGTCAGCCATACCCATACCCAATACCCAATACCCAATACCCACATTGAATTTTCGACCGACAGGATAGGATGGCAAAAGTTGCAACTTGGGTTTCCATTGTGAATTCTTGGATGTACCAATCGAGGTATTTGACAGGGTATTTTTAGAAGGAGGGAAGGGAGAAGTAGATGTGGGACCTTTCAACTTTTAGGTCATTTTTTGAAAAGTGGTCTCCTTCCTGACATCCTGACATCCTGACGGTCTTGATCTCCGTTCCAATTTCATGGGTTGTCCCATTAAAACCTTTGAATCACTAAACAACTTTTGCCCGCTCTGCGGCCGTGTGGGGGGGTGAAGTGACCAGATCGGAATTTTGGTAGTGATAGCAACTCCCACTTTCACACCTGATCTTCCGGCCACTATTGGTCTTTCTCCAGATATTACTTATACCAAGTGACAAGTGATATTCGGCACTCTCAGACTACATATACACAATAATGTACAACTTATGGAATTCACCCGGCCCCGGTGCACCTATCTATGTCTATGAATTTTAGTCGACTGTTTCATCCGTGCGACATGGGAAATTGTCATGACCGGTACTTACTGTATAGTTGATATTGAGCCATTTAGGAAGGTTGATGATGGCGGGCTCGATACCCAGTACATACCACATACCTTCAAACTTCATAGATCAGATCCATAAGACAATGATATCCGGTTGATTTCTCTGACTTCTGTTCACTTACAACATTTCTCCTCATCCACATTTATTCCATGCAGATCTTTTCCTCTTGGTCCCCTCCTTCTCTTTTTCCCCTTTTTTTGCTTTTCTTCTCTTTCTCTCTCGGCTTGGACTTTCTTTTACATATACATATTCGTAGGCTTTGACGTGCTTTACATATTTGTAGACTTGATCTTTCTTTACATATTCATAGACTTGACTTTCTTTGAGGTGGATGATATATATTCATCATGTATACGTATCATGGTCATATCTCCAACTACCTCACACTCTATCGTCGACCTGTCATGATCTTAATCTCGGACGGTTTATCTCTTTTGGGGGGTTTGGATCTTTGGTTTTAGTTGGGGAGAATCTTTGTCTTTTCTTTGAGATGTTGAGGATGAAAGATGGGGAATCGTCGATCGTTGACCTGTCAGGTGGTGGGAAAAGGTATCAAATCAGAGGTGGTCGTGATGAGATTCTTGAGGAAAATTCAAGATGGGATTTGACAAGAACTGATTTCTGAGGAAAAGGAGATCTGAGGGGGTTGACGAACCTGATTCTTGAGGAAAATTCAAGATGGGGTTTGACAAGGATTGATTTCTTATACAATCAAAGATTTGTGGGGTTTGACAAGGACTGATTTCTGAGGACAAGGAGATCTGAGGGGTTTGACGAACCTGATGCCTGATTTCTTCGGAAAAGGAGAACCAAGGTCAAGAAGAATGTTGAATGGTTGCATGTGTTGGTTGAATCAGAAATCGAAATCATTCCGATAGGTCGATATGTCGATATGTAGTTCATTTTAATGGAGAATGTGCCGCCAAAACATCCAAAAAACCAAAAAAAAAAAAAAAGACAAAACGATAAACCTGGTTTCAAAATTTTGGTCCAAATTTTCGTATTTTTCAGATATCCATCATACACATCGGAGGGGGTGAAGGAGGAATTGAACAAAGTCTTGGTCGAGTTGGCGTTTCAGGAGATGAAGACATTCTGGAGAAAATGAACCACGAGTTTGGCGTTTCAGTAGAGTTGAAGACGTTCTGGAGAAAATGAACAGAAGTCGAGTAACCATCACGTTTAAGAACAGGATTTGTCGATGATCCTTCAAAAGAGGTCGTTTCGTTGGAAAGATGAAGATGAAGATACAGTATCTATGTCTGGTCGCATTCGATTGGATTATTATTATTTTTTTCCTTTGGGGGGAAATTCATACCTCCACACTGAAGTCTTCAGGCATATCATCAATTAAACTCTATGGTCAGTTAAACTCTTTCGAAGAGATGTGAGTGGGTTGAAGGGGTTATGAACTCACCTCGTAACCCTATCCTCTTTCTGCTCTGTCCAATGTTCGATGGGCTTTTTTTGAATCCTCAAAGAAAGCATCTCTGCAGACCTTTTGTACATCTCATCTCATCCTCCACCGACCATGACTTTTGAGCCGTCTGTGCCGTGAGAAAAATCATGATATTTCTCTGTGAAAGTATGAGTGAGAAATCTGATGTGAAAGGGAGGAATGAATAAGGTAAGGGTGAGGACAGACATGGGAAAAAAGTTATAAAATAAGGGAGGGTGAGGAGTCAGTCAGGTCAGTCAGAAGTTGGTAAACGCCCAAAAACCCACATTATCAATCAGTCGGTAAATCAGAAAAATCGTAATGCCCAAGCTCACCCACATTATCAATCAACATGAGATAAAAGAGATGGATCAAACGATGGGGACGATAAAAAGGTCGTACCGAGGGTGGTTTTTGTTGTGATGATTGAATGCATAAAGAGAGAGAAAGCGGTAGCATAAGTTTCGGCGGAACCAAATTGACCTATCGCCGATAGATACGACGTTATCTCCGATACCTTCGACAGTTTTGTTTGGTCGAACAGGTAATAGGGAATTCTCTTCCTTGTTCCTTGTTCTTTCTTCCTCTCCTTCTCCATGTTCTTGTTTCGCTCTGGCGTTGCGCGTGATTTGACAGGTGGTATTCTTTCAAGCCTTGAATGGGTCATGTGACTTCAACTTTGAATAATCATTATATTTTCATAAGTATTCATTCCTCGACCATCGACCCTTGAACGATAACGATAACGACAACGATGACAACAACAATTACAATCACGATGACGACAGTACAAGAAATGTTCCGAAACTCTGTATCAGAACGCTGGCAAAGGTGTATTCATGGCTACCGTAGGACCTATCATCGTCAGTATCAGTACAGTTTCATCATCAGTACGGGTATGTTATCACTCACACATAGATATCCGTCAATCCTGCTGCTGCACACGAAACACCCAATGGGAACAACGATGCCGTCATCTCGGACCTAGCTAAACAAATCATTGAAAAGAGTAAGAGTTCTACTCAACAAGTCGTCCAACTTTGCGGTGAAACGTGAGTGATCTTGGTGTTACTCTTCTTTGTCGTCTTGGCGCTCATGAAATAGAGGTGCAGGTAAAACAGTGTTCGCCAATCGACTCGTTTCTAATCTCTTCCTCGCTCAAACAGAAACCGAAACAGAAACCGGCGCTGGTTTTCATCATGGATTTTCGACCGCGACCGCCGGTCAAGGGAACGATGATACGGAACGTCAACAACTCGTCGAAAGGTTCGAAAAAGGGAATCAAGTGATTGAATTGTTCGGGAATGCTAGGACACGTATGAACCCTAATTATTCTAGGTTTACAAAGATTATCACGGTCAGTCTGCGGAAGCTACATCTTTCCACCATCCCTTGTCTCTTCCCATCCCTCTTCCTCAGTTTTCATATTTCATCTCGCCCTCTTTCTATCTCGCTGTCCCACTCACTGTCCCGATTGTCTGGGATGAAAGGGGTTGCTCGTCACACATAGATTTCAACCTGATCGTCTCCCTCACTCCGAACTCGAGGGAACGAGACCACTCTTCATCATCCTCTCTCCTCTCTACCAAGATTGATAACGTTCTTTCGACGACGACACCTTTGCCCTCTCATGGGGAGATGTGTCATGACCGGGTAGCCGGCCCGGGATCATAAACCGTCTTAAAAGGCTCAATATCAACTCTCTTCTGCTAGTGAGAGTTGATCTCGCTACAAGTACCGGTCGTGACAATGTGAGTACGTACAGCTGACCTCTTCAGATCACTCTCGACCAATCTCACCCCCTGGGTCCCATACCAACAGGAATGACGATCGACATTGACGCATGGGAGAAATCGAGGGTGAGTATGAGACGTACGGATGAAGGCGGTTCTCATATTTTGGACATGTTTCAAGCTTGTCTTTCAAGCGCGGGGAGAGTTGAAGATTTGTATCCCAGTTCCGACTTTGATATCCACCAGACCTTTTCAAAAGATAACAACGATATGATGTCCGGTGGGAAGGGGAACGACATGGATGTCGGGGAACACAAACGATATGATGAAAGAGAAAGATGAGAATGGTATGATGAGAAAGAGAGATGAGAATGACACGTCGAGAGATGAGAAGAAAGATGACGAGAAGAAAGAGAACGATGGGAATAACAGGCCGAGAGATGAGAATGAAACGTCGAGAAATGAGAAGAAAGATGAAAAAGAATGGTTATCAACATTATCATCACTCTCTACCTTTTTCCCAAATGATACCTTGACACAAGTCGTAAAGATCTTACATTCCGTTTGTCTCCTTAACCAGTTATTCGATACCGTCCCTACTCCTATTCCTACCACCGCTATCAACCCATCTACTCCTATTCCTACCTCTACCACCACAGTCACGCCCACGGTCGGGACGGACGAAAAGGAAAAGAAACCATATCAAGATATCATCGAACAAACGGAGGAAAAGAAATCACATCAAGATATCAACGATCGAAAGGAAAGTGAAGAGATAAGTCGAACGGAAAGGGAAGAGTTGATAACACAAGTTGGCAAACTACTCGGGTGTGACCTAGACAGACTGAACGACTTGATCATGATCGAAAGGAAAGAGAACGAGGTGGAGCCGGAGAAGGAAAAGGGAAAGGGAAGGGAGAAGGGAAAGGAGATCAAGGTGGATATGAAGATGGGTCAGAGAGTTGACTGGGAATTTATATGAGAGTTTGTTCCAGGTCAGTTTAACGATCTTTTACCTTTCTTCTTGTTCTTGTTCTTCTTCTTGTTCTTCTCGTTCTCTTCTTCTTCCCTCGCATCCTTCGTACGCTGGTACTTTTACTTTTCTTCCTCTTCCCTTTTTTCGATTTCGATCTTCATTTTTCTTGATCTTGGTTCTTTCCTCCTTATTCTTGTCCCCACACTATTATCCGTTGTTCACAATTCTCCTTAATTTCCCATGTCCTTTTTCCTCTTACTTGGACTCTCATGTCTCTTCTCATATTCTCATCATTGTTCTCGATACTTCTTATTCCTCTCACATGGGCTCTCGTTTCACATCTCGCATCTCATCGTTCTTTCTTCCTTTCACATTCTTATCCCGTCGTTTTCCTTCCCATAACTTGAATGATTTCCAACATGTTCGCCTTTACGAACGTCTCTGGTCTCTTGGTTTCTGGGTGTTTTTCGTTTCTCATGACGATACTATGTTGGTTCAGTTTTTTTTTTTTGTTTCGTTTCTCATTACGATCCCGTGTTGGTTCAGTTCTTTCTTTCTTTTCTCATTACCATACCGTGTTGGTTTAGCTGACCCCCAGTTGGTACTCGCCCGGGTCAATCATTGTTTATCGCTCGTCATTTCCCGAACCAATATCAATTACAATCCCGACCGAGTTCAAGATAAACGTAAAGGGGTAGAATCAAAAGTTTTGATATATGATAGTGTAAGTTTTTTCTCCTTTTCTCTTCCTATTATTTTCTTTCTTTCCGTTTTTTTGTTCTTTCCTTTCCTTTTTTCGTTCATACATGATCGTTTTCCTTCTTTCCTTTTCGTGTTCATACCTGATTCTTCCCGGATGACTCTATTCACTTCTACTTCTTCTTTCTTTACCTATCTTTACTATTTGTTCTAACCAGTGTTGGCCAACCTGTCAAATTGACAGGCCTGTCTCCCTCCCCTCGAGTCGACTCCGTGAACCGGTGAACCGGTGAACCCGTGACCCGTAAACCTGTTGAATCTCTATACACACACACACACACACACTTATGAATCGTAATCTGTTATTATAATAGATTTATCATTGGAATGATTCTTGTCGGGATCCTGATTATTGAGCCTCGTTCGTTCCCGTTCAATGAGCCTCATTCTTCCTGTTCAATCACCCTCGTTCGTTCCTGCAATCATCCCCATTCTTTCTCGTGCAATCATCTTCGTTCTTTCCTGTTCAATGCTCCTCAGTATTTCTTGTTCAATGAGACCAATGATCCTCGTTCTTCCCGTCCGATCATCCTCGTTCTTTCCTGATCAGATACACGGCATGTCATAACCGAGCTAACATCAACAGCCCGGGTTCGAACTCGTTGACAAGGTATGTCATGTCCCTCAATTAACTCTTTTCCAACCCTTCTTCTTCCACCTCTTTTTACAGCCTCGTAGGATGGATGGTTTTGACCTGTTGGGAGATCGGTCGGTCATTGAGAGTGCTCATATGGGAGGAGGGGGAGGAGGGGGGAGGGGCCAAGTCATGGCCGGGCAGCGAGGCCGCGATCCTAAACCGTCCTAAAAGGCTCAAGATTAACTCTGCTAGTGAGAGCTGATCTCGGTATAAGTACTGGTCGTTACAGGAAGGGGACGACAGCAGGGGGGAGAAAAAGAGAAGACTCGCCAAGACATGAGGGTAGATCAGAGACGCTAAGATTCTGGGACCCGAGAAAGAGACTCTGGGAAAGACAGAAGAGAGAGAGAGATAGTGTGTGTTTGTGTGTGTCTGTGAAGGAGATAGAGAGACTGGTGGAAAGGAAAGACAGAAGAAGCAAAAGTTGACAAACAGATGGGTTTAGATCAATTACTTTATAATATACTAGGAGAGGCTATGGTCGCTACCGTGAGTATCTGTATACAATTTTCTGTGTACAATTTATCTCACTCTCACTCTTTCATCTCTCCCAACTTTGATTTCTTTCATCTCTCCAAAGCTCCAATCCTCTCGGTGGTAGTTTCTCAATTCCTTCCGTCTACACTTTGTTCGTCGGCCCTGCTATCCTAGCCTTTTTGCTCCGTGCGTGTCCTCGTGTATCAACGTTCGTCGGTGGATGGGACATGGACGGTCGATGAAGAAAGGCGACGAAGGAGAAAGGGGAAAGAAGAATGTAAAATCACTACATCTCTTCCTTCTTTCATCTATGGAACTTTTTTCAGACCGGTCTTCTCTTCCATGGTCCGTCAAGTCCCCCCATCGAGGGGAACCTCCCCTCTCTCCTTGCGTTGACAGGTTATTCTCAAAATTCAGACTCATGTGAAGAAGAGTGTATCACACTCAGGAGTCACTCTTCGTGCCTGCGTAGCTAATAGATTAGTTATTGGATCGATTAGAATTAGATCCTCCCTCGTCTTCCTACACCAACACCAACACCGCGGTACAACCATCTTTCATCTCTTCTCCCAATGATAATAATCATACGAGTACTCTGCAACAAGGAGGGAATCAACACGGATACGGATACGGATAGAGAGACAGAAAAGAAGATGAAAGGATCAACAGAAGAAATGAAAAATAAAAACATGTCACAAGCTGCTCATCGATTCAAACCAATTTTACATGCTCTAACTCTATCAACAAGTGATCCTCTTTCTAGATCTCTGACTTATCATTTCGAAAAAGTGATCAAACAACCTTTCCCTCCCAGTCCCATCCCTCGGGTCAATCCTTTCGACTCGCTTTATGACGAGCTCTCGGGAGAAGATGAGATGAAAATCAAGGAAGAAATAAAAATACCGGAATTGACTGAATCAAAAGATGAAGATAAAGATAAATTACAACTTGTCGTTCATCATCTCGTGGGACATGACGTGAAGTATGACGCGACGGATATGGTGGTTCATAATGATCCTGCGGTGGATGAAGGGGTTGAAGAGTTTGTTTTGAGTTGCGAGACGATGATCAGGTTGGGTGAACGAGCAAGATCGTACTCTACCTCGGCTTCGAATTCAATTCGAATAGAACGAGGAGAAGCAGAAGGAAAGGGAGAAGGAGAAGGAGAAGATCATGAACAAGTCAATGACAAACAAGTTGACAAGGGAAGAGAAGAGGAAGGAAGAGAGTCGGAACAAGAACAAGATTCTGATGACGATTCAGAGCAACAACATTAAGAAGAAGAAGAATACGATGAGGAAGAAGAAGAATACGACGACGACGACGAAGAAGAAGAAGAAGAAGAACGCTCCCCTACCGGCTCAGCATCTTCAAGACTCCGAGCTCTCATAGCTCAATACTTCATCGCTCATAGGGGTTCTGAATACGCTTAGCATGTTCATTGTATCAGACCTTTTGGTGAGAGATCATCGTCATCCTCTCGCTCCATTTCCAACGACCCTTTCTCCTCGCTCTCTCCCCATGGCACGAGTCCTGGAACCGGAACCGAAACCAACGGTAAGACAAACAAGAACCAAACTCAAACTCGTCATGATATGAAAACTTTAAACTTGGAAAGAGAGGGGGATAAGGAGAAGGAGAAACGATTCATGAAAATGAAACCATTAATGATGGAAAGAAGATATATCACCGAACAACTTGATAGAGGAGGGTTTCAACAGATTCTAAAACCCTTAATCCGGATTCCTAGAACTAGCAGTCTTTCCGAACATAGTGAATTATTTCGACCTCGTTTACCTATATCAAATTCTTCATCTCTTTCAAATAAATCGAACCTACACTCGTCCCATCTCATTCATTCAAATCATCCACACCCAATTCCGATCCCTTCTATATCTCTTTCATCCAATGAAACCCGAACGACAGAGAGAAACAAAGACAAAAGAGGAAATCGAAACCAAAAAAGTAAAAGAAATCATTCTATCGCCTATCAAATCCAGGGAAAAATTACAATTACCAAATTCTTCTTCCACTTTACCTATCTTACCTCTTTCTCTTTTCCCTCCGGACAGCACATACGGTAGGTTGGTACCTGTTTATGCAAAGGGGATGAACGAGTTGGGTACAGAGTTGAAATCGGTCAGAGAAGAACTAGATGAGTCAAAGTTGAATTTGAGGACTGTATTGAAACAACGTCAAGAGTTGAGTACCAGGTTGGACTTGGTTGAGGGGGATAAGGAGGGGTTGGAGAGCGAGTTGAAATTGACTAGAGAACGATTGGAAGGATTGGTGAAAGAGAGGGAATCGTTAGTGCAAGAAAAGGATTCGTTAATGAAAGAAAATGAAGAATTATCGAATCAATATAAATCCCTCGAAACTTTACACACCAGTTTACAGGTTCAACATGAGGCCAGTAGGAAACAACTCGACGATAATCAGAAACGACTAAATGATACCTTGAAACGACTGGATGATACATCGAAAAGACTGGATGATACTCTAGTCCAAATGGTCGATTTGAAAGAAGAGAAGAACCGTGTTGAAAAAGAATTGTCAGAATCGGAAACCAGATCCAAGATGATTTCGGAGGAATACGAGAGATTACAAATGGTTCATCAACAATTCATCAATCAACACGAATCGTTAATCACCAGACAAGAAAACCTCATGAAGGGATGTGAGATCTTAAAGGCGAAACATGGTATTTTAGAAACTCAACATAACCTTTTAACGACAAAACATGGTATTTTAGAAACTCGACATGATATTCTGAAACGAGATCATGGTATTCTAGAAACTGAACATGACATATTGAAACGAGATCATGACATTTTAAAAGTTACACAAAGTCAAACGATCGACTTGTTGGGATCGATAAACGATCGTAAGAACGATTTGAAGGAGAAATTGAGACGTCAGGAAAGTCATCATTTGAAGAATTTGTTGTTATGTTTGATCAAGGATCCGTTGGTTTATCAAATCGTTGATATCATCCATTCGACGGGTGAGAATATCGCCCGCCATTCTGTTGATGTTCAAGATCAGGATCATGTTTCCTCTCGTTTGAATGTTATTCCAAATAAAACTGTTCGTGGAGAACGAATCGCAAGTGAAAACCAAAATGCGAAAACAACAATATCTTCTGGAGGTCGGAAAGGAAATGTAAATGTAGATGATGATGAACTTCGCTTTGGTTCGGATGGAGTGAACGAAAAAGAAAGGAAAAAGGTTAAATCGCAATTGATCCAAGTTGTCAAACATCTGATACATGTCTTCAATTCGTTCGAATACGACCATGAATTGAAAAAGACGAGATTGGAAGAGGTCTTTCGACATGTGGCAATGAAAGGAGAGTTGAAGGTTGTCATTCTGCTTTGGGGGATTTTGGGGTTTTGGATGATCGATGTTGATCTGATTCAGAGAGAGATTCAGATTCACTCCGGGACAAAGGTTGAGAAAACGGTTCAAGATCGAGGTGTTGTAACTGGACAACAGAAGGGTGAGATGATTCAAGATCAAGGATTTTTAATGAGGGGGAGAGAGTTAAAACCGACAAGACGGTATGATTAACAACGGACAAGAAGAGTCGAATGAAAGTTCGACAAAAGATCAAGAAATCAATATCCACTCAATCGGTTCTGTCCAAACTCAAAGTCCAAATGAACAAGATAGAGTAAAAGAACAAGATGAAATTACTCTTACTCCCATGGACGGTTTCAAACCCGATCGTTTATATGAATTAATCTTTTATTTTCAAACACACATCCGATCAAGAGTGTTCACCCAATTGAATCAAACTTACACCATGGCGAGAAAAGATGGTAGTCCACCTAACATGGTATTGGCTCGTTTGGGTTTAGAAATGAATGATTTGATAAAAACATGTTGTTTTCTCAACTCTGGGTCGGGTTCAAATGTCGTTGGTTCTCAAGTCATGGATCAACATCGACATCTCTCTGTTTCGATGCAGACTAGAGGTGGTTCTGTGGGGGAAAAGAATAGATCGGGAGATAAGGAGAAGTTTGGTATGGACGGGAATTTGAATTCGAAAATTAATCAGAGAGAGTGGTTTGAATCACAAGATGGAAAAGGATTATTAAAAGATGGAATGAAAGAATCTATCGATAGTTTGAGAGTTGATGCTGGAACGGGATGGGAGGAAAATGATTTGAATGAAATGTTGAACGGTCAGTTTTGAATAATTTTCTTCTTCCTTCTTTCCCCTTTTAGAGTTTTTTCTCTCTTCTGTTTCTCCTCCGCTGTCTCTGGACTGTTCTGACCTTACACTTATTCCGCATCTGTCGGTGTGTCAATGTGTCAGTATGACCGTGTGATGGTGTGGCCGTGTAATGGTGTGTTGTGTCGGCGTGAGGGTGTATTGGATCGTTCAAGGGTATAGATACAAAGTCGGAGCGAGAGGAATGTGTCAAGGTGAAATACATTGGGTTTTGTATTGAAACGAATAAGAGATCAAAGGTATCAAGTCGAGTGCGAGTGGAACATGCTGACATTTATATAGAATTAGGACGATCAGTACCTTGTATAATGATTGAAGAATGGTTCATTTGATGGTGAGGTTTACTCTTCATTTACCTCTTTGACTTTGTCACTAGGTTTTGAAAAGTCAATACGATCTATGTTGCAATGCTACTCGTAGGTTTTGAAAAGTCGATGGTGGTGCATGGTGGGGTGTATATACGAGTAAGTAGCTAATATTGATGAATCTGATAAAATACGAATATCAAATATGGATGAATATGTTAAGGACACGGCCGGAGATGTTCACCTCCGGAGCTGCATGGCTCATATGGTGTGGATAGCTGCATCAAACGTGAGCTCTATATACATACTCGTGCATAAATTTAAGTTCGTGCTCTTGATACTCTGTCTAGGTCTAGCCTCTGCATAGTCATGTACTATGGGATTATTGTCACGCGGCGCCGCGTGACATCATCCTTTTTTTTCCCATCAAACAAAGTTCCTTTGGACATCAGTTCGCCATCAACGACCCAGTTCTCATGAACTTCATCACCCACGAGGGTATTAGGAGGCTAACTTCGTTGAGGACGAAGTTAGTCATGTAGGAGGTTAGTGAGATATGAAATTAGTGAGATACGAAGTTAGTGAGATACAAAGTTCGTGGGATACAAAGTTAGGGAGATATGAGATTAGGGAGGCATGAACTTCGTCGGGGACCAAGTTCCCGAGGTACGAAGCTCGGGGACTCGGGTTGAACGAAGTTCTGCATTGGCGAAGTTAGGGAAGAACGAAGTACTGAAGGACCGAAGTTCCCAGGGATCTTTGACGCTCTCTGGTTGTTGTCTTAGTGATAGAAGTTAGTAGACTACGAAGTTATTACACCCAGAAGTTATTGTCACCACCCATACTACGAAGAACAAGTCTATTAAGTGTCATAGCCCACGAGGTTATTGGCCGTCGGTCCTAGGAAACAAAGGAAGAACCAACCCTGTTGTCACAAACCATGTCGTGACATCCCTGACAACTACCATCATCGACCCTCCTTTCACCATCACCAAACCACTATCCACCACCCACCCCTAACCACTGAGACCAACTACGACGAAGTTACGAGAACCTAGGGATTACTTATCACGACAATCCCGCATAACGGAGAAATACGGCGAAGTTAGGGGAAGGAAACCAAAGGAGAGTGGAGTAGGGGAAGTTAGGCAAAGTTAGTCGGAGTAGGATATTGGGGATATGGCGAGGTACGGCAAAGTTGAACGAAGAGGACTGAGCGCGAAGCTGTACAGGGGTTGAGGGACGTTCTATGAGAAGAGGGGGGAAATATAGATAGGTTACAGATCGCTGAACTTCTTCAGCGATCCTTGATTGTTGTCAGTAGCGAGAGATATATTCAGTAGCTACAACCATCAAGTTAGGGAGAGCTACCACCGAGCAGTTCAACGCACTACGGCGAAGTTAGCCGCAGTTCATCGACGATCATCTTATCATTTACCACTCGACGTATTACAACGGCGAAGTTAGCCGTAGTTCCTCGACGAGTACCCTGTCCTAGTGAGACATCAACGCCCCAGTACGACGTAGTTAGCCGAGGTTTGTCAACCGTCGGTCAGTAGAGAAGAAGAGACGACGATTGTGACAGTAATGTAATGTCGGGTGCCTGGTATTGAATGGATACCTGACTCGCCCGAACAATATAATATCCCTCAGTGAAGGTCAACTCTACAAACGTCTAAGGTCAGTATCTGTATCTGTATGAGGATGAGATGTGGTTGAAGGGTAGGTGGGTGGATAATATCAAAGACGGTTGAGATGTTGTTGAAAGTAGGTAAAGGTGATGATGATGATAGCAAGTATGATGAATGGGCAATGGAAGAGGAAAGGTGATGAGAGATGAGATGTGTGATCAGCACCTAAGGAGTTAGGTGATGATGCACATGAGGATAGAAGAAGTGAGTGGCAAATGTGTCTAGAAACCAAAGAAGAGTGGAAGTACAACCGAAGAAGTCATCCCCTCTTCTGCAGAACCGGCTCCCTTTATATACATTTCAGTCTTCGAGAGGATCGAATGTTCTCACAATTCGAGGTCGACATCGAAGAACTTCTACAACAAACTGACTATACTACTACTAAATAACAAGTCTATGTACATACCGATCTGAACATATGGAAGAAAGGAAGGTTGAGAGAGTCTATACAGACAGTAGAGAAGGAATTACAATGAAGTGAGTGTGGGGAAGTGTCACGAACTACGTCGTGACACTCCATTATTCCACCAACAACGACCCTCCTTTGACCATCAAAACCCCCATCACGCTTTAACTTCTTTACTCTACACGTAACTCAGGACATCTGAGACCAAGTACGGCGAAGTTAGACGGAGTTAGGCTAAGTAGGGACAATGGGAGCAGAAGTACGACGAAGTTAGACGGAGTTAGGCTAAGTAGGGACAAGGGGGCAGAAGTACGGCGACGTTAGGCGGAGTTAGTCGGAGGAGGAAGAGGATAGCCGGGGCTCGGGGAAGTTGGAGGAAGTGCGTTGAAGTGCGTCAAAGCGCGAGAGGGTTGGATGAACGTCTAGGAGGAATAAACAATATTAGCTGAGGAGATCGCTGAAGTTCTTCAGCGATCCTTGATTGTTGTCAGTAGTGAAAGATAGATAGAGATAGCTATTTACAAATCGAGATACATCGCCATCAGTAGAACAAAACCCCAGTTAGAGTAACCACGGCGAAGTACGCCGTAGTTACACCCCTTTCGACGTCTGCACCCTCCCGGTTGGGTGAGACATCGATCAAGAAGGATCAAGTTAGCCGAGGTTCGTCGACCGTCGGTCTATTAGGAAGTAGTTGCTCGACGGCCGTGACAGGAAGGAACGGAAGAAAACGAGTGAGAGATTGAAGAAGACTATATACAAGATGGCACTGAGAATGCACTGGTGTACTCCCTGTACACTCTACATGTAAATAAATGAATGTGAGAAAAAGTGAAAAGTGTGGAAGTGATTTCGTCTTCACCTGCACTTCTGCAGGACTTGCCTTCACTCCCAGCCGAGAGCGTCGTTACAGATACCAGAGGCTTGCTGTAAAGCGTGGATTTGAGGAATAAGAAAAGCGATAATAACAATTCTGGTGTGTACATAGCAACACATTTGTGGCAATAGGTGATCCATAAGGGGGTTTCCACCTTACGTAACTAAACTGAGTTTTCCACCTCAACCTTGAAATTCAAAAGTTTGTTGGGGATGAGAGTTGCATCTAGCTATGAAGAGGTGTCTGCAAGAGTTTCGGGGTTCTTATGTGACGTGTCATTTGGTACTGATTATCACTATCTAACAAAGTTTGGTCCGCGCGGTGTTACATATTCTTATTTCTTGTCGGGAACCCAAAAAAACGAAAACAGCCATGTCCATCGAGAGCGCCGAGCACATAAGACGACTGGCTGAAGCGCTCAGGAAGGAGGTTGCCGAGGGTGGGACTGTAGAAGTGGATCCTGGGTTGGATTCTTCTCTGGTTCAGATCGCGACCGTCATAGGGAAAACTCTGGCATTGATCCGGTCCAACAGGTTGAAGCAAAATGAGAGGTTGATAGCCGAGCAGAAGGCGGTGATAGGGAGGAAGGAGGGTCAGTTGGCTGAGCGAGACGAAACAATCGCGGACATGAATGAGATGTTAGAGTCTCAGGAAACCAGGCTGATGAATGAGAAGGCAAAGTCGACCGAGTTGTCAGCTCAGTTGGAAGAGATGACAGCTCAGTTGGAAGAGATGACAAAGGTGAGCACATTAATCTTTTTCTAGCTTGGCCCCTCTGGTTGGTACATGGTCGCATCATGCACGACTTTTGAACATGGGTAGATCCCCCACCCCACCCCTCCGTTTGTCATGTTTCAACACGTCACTCGAGCTCGCTGGCGTCTCTCGTTCCTCCCAGTCTGGGTGTTCCCGACTCCGTCTTCGTCTTGTCTCTTTTCCCCCTTACCGTCAGATCTCGGACCATGTGATCTACAAGATTCCAGACGCTGAATCTACGGATGGGAATTTTTCTCGGGAATCATGCGCCTACAGAAAGAAGTGTGTGCCCATACTCGTATCGGACGTTGACTGATCCCCCTCCAGAAAAAAGACACTTTGGCTTCCCTCTGCCGACCGTACATGGAGCCATCGGTAGAACAGATCTCTCTTTATCGTCAGGCCATCTCTGGAGGTGACGACCACGCATGAAGGTGTGAAAGTTGCTTGAAACCTCGTCCGACGTCACACTGGCCCCAAGTCACTCGGTCGTTTCTCGACTTCCTCGCCGATTCCTATATCACCACCCCCAACTCGCTCATTTACCCTTTGCGGGTTTATCCATCTCTTTTGAGGTTTGACGGGTGAGGTGAGTGATTATAGTCGCGGACACGCTTTGAGTGATTAATAGTCGTTTACACAAGTTTTGACCGCTTTGCTTGAATACCTTTCCTGACTATCAGATGTTCAGAGTTCTCAATTTCTCATCATCACGTCCGACCGGATGGGGATCCCTTTTGACGTGTTCTACGTAAAGGATGGATGGATGATTCATCTCCTCATTCCTTTTTCGACAACATGGTCACACCCAAAATGTGGATTCAGGTGAGTCAAGCGTCTTCTCTCTCTCTCCCGTCCCTTCTCGCCTCTGACGAAAGACTTTTACGAATTTTACCCTCGTGGCGATGGTGCTGACTTTCAGTCGAGTCGAATCTATTCGAGTCAATCACTGTCGACATGACATCGTGTTGTTTATACTCTCTCTACTCAATGACTGATCCATCACATCAGCTTCCCACGGGAGGGGGGAGAACGAGTAAGGCAGGGTAGAACGAGTAAGGAAGGGTAGATAGAGTACTCGTAACATCCAGGTATTAGATGATACAATGATCTCTTGACCACTTGCTTAACCTTGTCATATCCCCAAACCCGCCCACCCCCTGCCGAGTACTCCATACTTTTGGGTCGCAGGATGGCATGTGGAATCGACGTAGAAGGTAGATGGGATCGCTCACGTCACCGACATGATAAGAAAGCCGTGGATGAGGTTTTTACCTGCAAGCTAATCGGCTGTACATGGTCGGTGATTTGGTGCATGTTCAACTATCCATGCAGCTGTCAGTCATGTCCCATTACCTGCAGAGGACAATCATTGAGAGGTTTTAATGGAGTTGTATGAGAAGTGTTGCCGACTTGTTGCTTCTCAGGCCTAACATGCCTCTGTTGCATAACTACCTGTCAAATAGGCACGTGGTAGCCATCGCCCCTCCAGGTCAATATAATGGTCCTGCAGGCCTATTTTTCAACACTAATCCCACGCCGTAAGTGCTCGTTCTACAACGTCTTCACACAAAGCGATCCGATACGATGCCGAGGTTACCACCGGGACCGTATCATCTACCTCGCTCGGGGGGCGGCAGCACAGTCATCAACACCGACACGGGCAACCGACACCGTTGTCCGTCGGAAGCTCTGACGGGGAGATCACGTAAGGCCGGTCGAGGTAACGGTCGACCCATCGGTCGACCCCGTGGCCGTGATCGTGGAAGTGGACGTGGACGTGGACGTGGACATGGACGTGGACGTGTGAGCGATAGGGGGACGGAGGGTGCTGCAGGGAATCCTGTCACGGGAAACGGGGCTCGGGCTGGTGGGCAGGACGGAGAGGATGGAGGGGACGGACAGCACGAGGACGAGGACGAGGACGAGGAGGAGGAGGAGGAGGAGGAGGAGGAGGAGGAGGAGGAGGAGGAGGAGGAGGCGGCGGTGGAGGTGATGGACTTAGGGCCCTCATTCATGGTTCCAAATGTGC